GCCAATCCTCCAGTGGCCCCAGCATCAGCTCAAATAGCAGCAAAAGCAGCAGAAGTAGCGAGGGCACCGGCAGTCTGCACAGCTGGAGCTCAGGGACTACCTGTCTCCTGCACAGCTCTATCAAGAAGCAATGCCAGGATGTGTTTCAAACTCGACTTAGAAAGGACAGAATGTTTTCTGGATGCATTTGCAGAGGGCCTTATGGTGAAAGTCAAACCCAGTAAGAGCTGGGAGAAGGCAATGATTTCAGCAAAGGTCACCCATGGCCGGAGAGGGATGGGTTATGTGAGGGGAGGGGTTTCACATGGAATCTCGCCAGGGCTGAAAGTGTCAAACAACAGCGGCTTTTGAGGATAAGGTGGAAGCCAAAGAGAAGTTCTCACAGTTCCTGGACGAGGTGACTTTCAATGTGCTCGACCCAATTAGCCTGCAGGCATTCGGGAAACCAGGCTCCAGTGTTGCTACTCTTCACAGGTGATCCCGGGGCTTCCCTGCTCGATGGCCCAACAGCAGGGCTCATTACTTAAGGAGAAGGCAACCAAAGAGGAGCAGGCTCCCCTTGACCCGGCATTAAAAGCCCAGCTGGAGCCAGATTTTTACATCCTGAGGTTGGATAATGAGACAAAAGACCTGGCTATTAGAGTAGACAAACCACTACAGCCGGAGATACAAGCCAAAGACGTGATTCCACCTCCTCCACAGTTCCGACAAGGGTTTGATTTAAAGAGTCCCTTTCCGGAGTTTTATCTCGACTTCCCCAGATACCCTTACAGATCTGTCTCTCTGCCCCGGGGGATCAACATGGTAAGTGATGAAAGTCGTCCCAGTCTTTAATCAAAGCCAGGCCTTGGAACATATGTTATGATTGGAGCGGAAATTGTTTCTCCGGGTTTGAAGTGATGCCTGAATAAATGAAGTCTTCGGATGATTTGAGGGAGCTGTACTTGATTTTTCTATAGGGCTTTTTTTTGCTTTGTTATTAAGAGTTAGGAAGAGGAAAATAACAGGAAGGGATAGGCAAGTCATAAAGTCTATGGGGATTACTGTTAATGAAGATTTTAACAGAAGCATACAGGATACAATCCATGCTGCAGTTATATAATTGACAATTTAAAAACGAAAAATATTTTAGCGAAAAGTTTAAAGGAAAACTTTTTTTTATTGTGCCAATTTGTATAACATCCAGCTCACATTCAGGTCTCAATAGAAAAATGCATAAAGCTAATACAAGTATGGAAGACATTTGGACACATTTATACATTGCTGCTCTTATACCCATACATATTGGAAAACACACTAAAGAGCAAATTGGGGATTACGGTACACTGAGCACAACATTGAAATATCATCAGCTATTAAAGATTGTATGTTGAACTAATCACCAAAAAATTGTGTACTTGCGCAAGTGCAGCACTAACTTCTACTGTAAAGTTGTGTTTGTGTCAGCTATAAGCTTATGGTTTTTTCAGCTCAGCTTTTGGTCAACATCAAAGTCTTCAATGGCATCCAATTGCTCCAATATTTTGTCATGTTAATATTAATGGTGCCAGTCAGAAGACCAAAACAAGCTTGAAAACTGAAGAGGGAAACTACAGTCAGTGAAAAGTTTGCTATTGGTCACTTGATCAGTTGTTTGATATGATTAATTAGAGTTGCGTAAACATTTAAAGTAATAAAAAAGAGTCAATGCATCATGGATATTAGTGCAGAATACAGTATGTACCCCTACACAACACTCCCAGAAAGTCTCCAACTTAATTGTGGGTGCAGTATTTTTTAATCTGGTCTCTGCCAACAATGAAAATTAATAGTTTATTTAGCGATGGTCCAAAAAAACACCTGCAGTTGTCACTAATTGTCTGAAGTGCTGCCTAAAGATAATAAAACAGAGGTTTTTGAGACCGTCTCTTAAAGTCTGTCATATTCAAAATTTACAGACTATCACCAATCTCGAAGTGAGACCTTTTTCCTCTGTCAGGCGTGGAAGCTCAAACGCTGTTTTAATGTCTTGTGGTTGGTTCTCATTAGTGAGTTATTCAAATTAACAAATTCTTGCAAATTGTTATCAGTGTTGATCAGTAACTGAAAAGACAATGAATAGTAAGAAAAATCTGAAGGCGATATTTGAAGCAAAACAACTTGTAAGCTACAATAGCTAAAGATAGCGCTCATCCACTGCAAGCTAACATTAAAGTTAGAAAGTGTTATACATTAGTTAAGGCATACATTTTTGCCTTAAAATGTTGGCTTGTCATTTACTTTCATACCCACATTATAATCAGACAGTGCTACAAGTTTGAAATTCTACAAAATAGATAATATATCTTAATGCTAATGTTAGCTGTTGTTACACTGCAGAATGAGTCATCAAATTTGATACCCTCAACTCAAACTTAATGTTAACACATTATCTCTTCAGTTCATTCAAATTAATGACACCAATTTGTCAAATCCATGAAACTTAGTGAAACAAAACTTTTCCATATTCTAACAGCATTTAAATTACCCACCATGACCATGACGTCAGATGAAAATGGACTCTGTATGGATGAGCGAGATTGTTTAGTTTGCTCTAACTGCTGTTGCCAGTTTTTTTCTGGTTGTTGTTTTTCAGTGAAAACACCTCCAATACACACAGAGACACAGCAAATAAGTAGCTGGCAGACATAGAGAAGCATTTAGCAGCCAAAGAGTCTAATAGAGGCCGGTGAGCAAAACAAAGTTACACAAATCACAAATGTTGTACTCATTACAGGTGGCTTGACAACTGGATGCTAATGTTTCTCCATATCTTCTTGGTGTGTAAATAATTAACTGTTTACCTCTTCACGTCACCTTTACAAAGGATATGTCAGTGTAGTGTTTACAGCTTGTTGTCACTGCTCATTAATGGGGGAAAAAACATCAGTAAAAGGCTTAATTATTGCCTAGAGGAACTGGAAGGCATATTTAAATGTGGTGTGTTAAGTTATCCCGTGGAGCCACACAGACCGGCAACCACTCAGCTGATCCAGGAGTTATCAGATCAATGCTGATGTCTATGAGTGTGCACAGGAGCGGTGCTTCATGCTGACCAGAGAGCAGGATTTTATGGGTGTGCGCATTAGCATTCTACCCATCAGCAGCTCCTCCACACAATCCTAACTGAACAATGCAGTCATTTACTGACTCAGCCCACTTACAGCCCTTTATTGTGTGACATCCATCATTTACTCAGCTTGAGACGTAACCCTTGCTAAAACGCCTGTGGATGCAGAAAACCTGTTTAAACGAGAGGTCCCCCCCCCCCCCCCCCCCCACTTCAGGAATAGCAACCAGTGGTTTTTCGCAGTCTTTTAGCAGCAGAGTGCATGTCAAACAAACACAGGCATGAAAGTTAAATAAGCAATTACTGCATCAAAAGCGTGTGCATATGGAGTCTTAGCTTGGTATTTATCTTAGCATTAAAAGATAATTTGATCTCTTAAAGTAATATATTGTAGTTACTGGAAAGCATAGACTCATATCTTGTACTGCTCAAATATGGCTATTTTTTGTCGTCATGGTTTCTGTTCAAGAGGAGTTCTAATTGGCAGTCTGTCTGTGTTTCGCTCCGAACTCTAAAAACACACTTGACAGATCTCCGAAAAACGGCACCGCTGTCATTTAATAATAAAGTAGAAGATCACATTGCCTTAATTTATTGTCTGATTAAAATTCAGCCTTTGCCGTCACCTTAGCAACTGCTTGAAAAGAGGTGGGTGGTGTGGGGGCTGAGAGGCAGGCATGTGAGCCTGTTGGCGTTCATCTCAGCCGAGTGTATGTGTGTGTTTGTGTCGCTGCAAAGTTTCCTCAGACGAGTCCTTGTACTCGGAACATTCTTCACACGCGGGCCTTCTGCTGCGTAGATACAAACTCAGTCGGTTAAAGCATATCTCCCGGCTTAAATTCTCGTCTTTCTGGAGGAATTCTGGTGCTTGTTATGATTCCACACTGACCTTGGTGATCTGTGTCTTTGCAGCGGTTGCATCCTTTATTAAACAACACTTGCTGAACATGCATGATTATCTCCCCTAACTACTGACAGCCAACTTCCCAGCGCTCAACAAATCATGAAACATGAAAACATGGCAGCATGGAGGCCACTCTCAATCAGCCCTGCATCCTAAAACTGAAGGAAAACAAGAAAACAGTGTAAAAATATTCTCGAAACAATGCATAATTTATAACCTACAGCAAAAAGGGCCGGAAGCATGCAGGCATATTGTCCCTCAACAGCCAGGGACTTCAGATATGAGATTCAACAGATTGAACCACCTGTTTCCCCCCTCCCTCTCATACCCCCTCTCGCTCCTTTCTCCATCTCTCTCCTCCCTCTGTCTCTCCTATCTCTCTCAGTGTCTTCTCCCGATTCAGCACCTTCAACAAGGATATTGAGTTGCTGCCAGTTTCCCTCATGGGGGGGCTTGCCATGTATCTGCAGTCTGGCTGCAATGGAGGTTTCCGCTCTCCCTCCCCTTCACTTCCCCTCCTTCCCCTTCTCGTTCTCCCCTCTCCCCTCTCACACTCCTTTGCATGATATGATTGTTCTCCTCTCACCTCAGCTATGCACAGATGCATCCAGTCAGACAGTCAGATGGAGTTGAGGGAGAAGAGCAATGAGGGAGCAAGGGGAAGAGCGAGCTGGGGTTGGGGGGGGGGTAAACATACCACAAAAACAGAGGGACTGAGGGAAATCGTGCCTGCTGAATATACATGTTTCAGATCTCTTTGCGCTGCACGATGCTCTACTTGGCTGCCAGTTTGACGGGTCCCCTCCACTAACATGCTGTCATTTCCTTTAAGGTGCCTGATGACATGAACAACATAGACACCATCAGGTAAGCTCTCTCTCTCTCTCTCCCCCTCTAACTCTTCCTCTCCCTCTTTCTCTCTCTCTTTCTCCACATATCTCTCAGCGCTCCATCCTCACGCCCCCGCGTTCTCCCTGTCTTCTTCCTTTAAGCTCCTTCCCTCCCACTCTTCCTCTGTCTTTCCACTCTTACACTGTCTCTCTCTCTCTCTCTCTCTCTCTCTCCCTCCGTCTTGCTGCTGTTGCTGCTGGAGTGGTGTGCTGCTGGTGTTGGAGGTGGCGGCAGTGGCAGTGACAGTGGTGGTGTGTGGTGTGTGCAGGGGGTTTTCTCTGTGCTTTAAGGGGAATAGCTGGGAAAGCCAATCCTGATAGCATAAACAGAAGAGGGGGGGGGTTTCTCCTTTTTCTCTCCCGGCGTGGCTCCAGCAGGGGGATATTTATCTCTCCAGGATGAAGCTGTGCGTGAGCGGAAGGTACTGCTGTTTCATCGTTTGCATCTTGTGGTTTGGTTTAACAAAGCAGTGAATCTGTGTGAATCTGTGTGTGTGTGCTCATCTGTATGTGATGTAGCTGCACTCCCAGAGTCAGTTCAGGCTGTCTGTATCGATGCAGTGATGTTAGGAATGATCTGCTTTTCTGATAGTTTCTCATAGATGAACGAATGCTTTTTATGCAGATGACTAAACGTTGTACACATGGAATCTCCCCTTGGCTTGAAACATTTACTGCAGCAAATGTGGAGCTACTGTGAAAGCATTTTTGTTCTCTAAATGTTTTTAAATTCCTCTTGAATGTGTTAAGGTTGTAGAAATGACTTCTGTATATCTGCTTCTGCGTGATTTCAGACAGTCACCTGTCGGCATGCGCCCTGAAAAAATGGATTAATCTCGCTTCGGATATTGCTGCTTCATCAGCACGGACCACTAATAGTTTTGATGTGTTTAAATAAGCCTGCTGGTCTCAAATGTGCTCCACAAGCCCTCGCTGAAAACTAAACTGAAGCCTCCACAAGCCTGCATAAACAGATTTTAATGAGCTCATTACAATATTACAAGCGCTTACCTACTTTTCTGATTAAAGTTGCATTACAGGAGAATTCAAGCAGCAAAGCAAACACGAGATGAAGGAGACGATTGCTTTTGCATCCACTTGCTTCCTTTCTGTCCCATTTTTACCCCGCTGTCATTCAGTAGGCTACATTTTTAATTGACACTATTACTAATTCACCGTTATTAATCCGGCACAAACGGAAATTGATCGCTAGCTTTCCCTTTTGTATTCGATTACCGATGGTGTTATTACAATTTCAGGCAGATTAGAGTTTAAAAGGCGTTTAAGCAGCCGATGAGGGGTAATTAATCTGATGGGTGGGGGGGGGGTTTCTCCAATATTAGACATCAATTCTCGGCACCTCTGTGTCACAGCTCTAATTGAATTATAGTAGCTCTCATTGATAGTGGAGGGGGTTAATCCTACATCTTTATTCCTCCTCACTCACTGCCAAACAGGAAACAAGGTCACCTGTGTCCTCTTAAGAAGCTGCGATGAGGTTAAACTGAAAGCTGGATTTACCTGAGGGTCTGACCGCAACCCCCCCCCACCGCCATTTGTATCTCCAACTCCTGACAGCTCATCTCCGAGACGCCTTCCAGTCTGAACTGATGAAACGTCCTGAAATCTCTCTTCCACTCTCTTTCTCTTGTACATTTTCTGTCCCTCGCTTGGCCCGGGCTCCTGCTTCTCGGGGGCCGTGTGGCGGAGATGGAGATCTAAATTTTACATGAAGACATGTTGAGTCTATGGTTGGAACAGAGAAGCTCTAAAGCAACAGAGACGTCTTGGTTAGATGAACAGATTTAAGGTTTTTATCAGGTTGTCAGAGTATTCAAATAAATGTCAACTTTAATTCTTTGACAACGTTTTTTGAAAAGCTTTATTCCAAAGACGAGATTGACACCACCTTGAAAAGGATGAAAGTTGCTTTTCAAGGATGACTGACAGCCTCAATATTGAAAAGGGATTTTTTTTTTTTAAAGAAGAACGATTTGAGATTAAGACTAAACAGGAAAGAAAACAAAAGGAGGGAAAAGGATGAAAATTAAGAATGAATCTTTTGCCAGGTTCTTTATTTTAACCCTTCCATTTTTGTAAAGACAGAAAAGACAAATAAAGTGTTATTTAATATCCTACATCATAAAATATATTTAATGATATCAAATGATGCCTCACACTTTTGCAGTTTGCTATTAAATGTTTCTGAAAAGTCCAAATGACCTCTCCTTAGCTGCTCATGATACTGACTGACTTCAGCTATCTCCCATCACTTTAAAGAAATGCATAAATGTTGCTGTGTTATAATCTGGTGCTAAACAGAGGACTTGATTCTTAACAACCTAGACTGTGGAATCAACATTTCTCTACTTATTTCTTACAGTTTTCCCTTTAAACAAATAGTTAAACATTTTAGGAATGCAGTTTATTACTGTAAATGTATTTCTGACTGTCAATACTACTTTCATCTCTGTGACACGACAGCTAGGAGACAGTTAGCTTAGCATAGGGCAGGAGACAGGTTCTTTCTGTTACCTAATCACTTGAATTTTGCCTGGGAAACGATAAATACAACAAGAAATTCCTTCCAATGATCTGTCACATTGACTTGGCACAAGCTAAATGTTTTATAAGCTTAGCTAAGGGGTGGGGGTTAATATTCTCATCTAACTGTAAAAGACAGTAAAATACAGGATGCAAAATATACTGTGAAACACAGTAAAAAAGAAGCACTAGATCATAATGAGTCCTTATTAAAAACAGTTTTAGTTTGAGTTTAAAATGACCAACATGCTGTCCTGCTAGTATGTGATGTGAGTGAGTGTCAGAGACAAAATCAGTTTGATTCAATGGTTTCCTAATAGCCCTCAAGCGAGGCAGGGCGAAACTGCGCAACTTTGTTTTAACCCCAACGCCTTGTTTCTATTTTCATTCCTGATGCTCTCGTAGACATGGTCAAGGAACCAGGAAGGATGAGGGTTTACAAAGTGCTGGCAGTGTCTTTTCTATCTCAACAGAGCTCGTTAGCTTGTTTTACAAAGTAGAGCTAGAGGTGCATTAATAATATACATTGACTTATGTCAACAACCCTGTAGAAAAACTTTGTTTGGCTCACTGCGAGCCGTATATTGACGAGCTTTTGAGTGTTGGGATTTTAATTAGCTCGTCAGTACAAAGCACCACGCTTCTGCTTGTCCAATTTCTATACAAATGGTGTTTTTAGACCAAACAGTTCTGGGGACATTTTGAAGAGGAACCACTGACTAAGGAGTTCTCTGAGAACTACACACCATGGGAAATGTTTTTTCTGTCTGCATTCACACTGCCCTTAGTACCTTCTCTGAAGATGAGAAAAAGTTTCCTTTTCCGCTTCTAGGAACTCAAATATTTCATAGTTCCTGCCGTGCGGAATGAATAAAAAAGGAAAGTTACAACCGTTCCTAGAACTATGAAGAAGCTCCTGCAGTCCGAAGAACGCCTTAAAGCACTAGATGTCAATATTGTTTGAATGGGGAAACTGAAATTTACAAAGCAAAGAAGTTCAAATGTAACCGATGGACAGTGAGTCCACCTTACTGTCTCCATTAGATGCGTTACAGAGCCGGATACTCTTATTGGAAGCAAAGGGTACTGAGTAACGGCCTCACGATGAAAATATTGGATTAGCTTAAGATTGGAAAAATGTCACAAAATGATCAATCATCAACATATTTTTTTAGAACATTACAATAATGGAACCGTATCAGCTTCCTGTCTAAGATTTGACTTGGCCCTATATCATCAGAGGCTGGATTGTAGTCAGTGCTGCTTGTGCTTGGGAGGTTACAAAAAAAGCCTTTATGAAAAATGATCATTTTTAGCATTCTAATAAGCATAATCAATAATACATGATGGAGGACATGAAAGCCATTTAATCATCCCAGGTGAATGAGGCGTCCACTGAATCGTATGAAGTTGTGCATTAGCAGACATTCATGTGCGTGTGAAAGTGGTGTGGGAGAGAGGCTGGTCTCAAGAGGCTGGAGGTTAGTTTTGATCTGTTTAAGTGGACAGAGTTGGTTTAACAGACTAATGCTTTCCTCTATAATCTGTGGTCTGAGCAGTCAGCCTCTCTCTCCCACTCTGTGTCTATGTGTGTCTCTCTCTCTCTCTCTCTCCCCCGTGAAGCACTGACAGCTCCTTTGGGGGTTATTAAGTGTTTCTTATCATCTCAACCCCATTATTCCTCCTCCCCTTTGCCCTCTTCAGCACCAGCGGTCAGATCATTCAGGTCAGAACGGCCTCACTGCAATATATCACAGCCAGCATAAGTACATTTTTGGCAATTTGACAAATTAAAAGAAAAGTCTGTCAATTAAATATATAATAATCTAGCTTTTTCTTGCAAAAAGAGCACAGACTTCTTGGAATTTAACATAAGACTTCTGATGAACGGAAGCTTTTAGCCTTTGACTAAAAGTGACACCTCATGCTGAACTGTTTTTTAGCTAAATTAGTGTTTTAGCGTTTTGCTTGTATGCTAAGCTAACCAAAGGTCCCAGAAGTATGAAAGAGTCAAAATGTCTTTTTGCTAACATAAGATAGCTTTAGCTCCCATAAAGTACAGGGCTCAACATTATAATTTGCAGATTAGATTAGAGCCCTCTTCAGAAGGCCGTTTCAAGCTGCGTTATTTACACCCCTGTGAAGTTTCGCGTTCAATCTGAATGTAACGGAGACGTAATGGGGGGACGAAGTGATCCAGCCTCTGTACTGTCTTTGGAGGTATAGGTATATAACGTACATTAAGGACGTGATGACGGCTGAGCTTAGTTACAGCTCTTTTGCGAAAAACAAAAAGCATTTTGAAAAGCTCTTAGATTAGATTAGATATACTTTATTGTCCTCAGGGGGAAATTTGTCTTGGGTAGAAGCGCAGAGAAAAAAACACAGCTCAGTGCAACTTACAGAACAATCATATCACAAGAACACATCAAGTAATGCATAAAAACACTATAATGAAAACACCATTAATACCAATAAAAGCCTTAAGGCTGTATTCACTCTAAGAGAATAAAAACACATGTTCAATATGTCTTGTATCTGACAAAAGAAGCTGTGATAAAAGACACAGTAGGCCCCAGTTTGCTTAGTTTCCTTTTGATAAGAGTTGAAGGATAGTTCAACATTTTGGAAAGGTTTTGTTGGGTTGAGTTAGATAAAAAGATCCTAGCTCTTTTATGTCTTTCCATAAAGTTACTACTTGCATTACTTACAATAAACCTTTAAAACAGACTAAAACTTTTTGAAGGTAAAACATCAGTCAGTCAATAACTTTTTTTTTTTTAGGGTGTTATGTGGTTAATTTTATCAGTAAGAAATGTGGGGTAATATGGATTAGAATTAAAAAATAACAATAGTAAATAAAGTTAACATTTTTTTT